ATGTTCAAGTCCTTCGAATATCAAGCCACCAAGTCCCATTCCAATACCGAGCGCCACGACTCCGGCGTAGGGGAAGAACTGCAGTTCCATCGATCTGAGAATACTCGTAGTTGCGCAGAGGAATCGCGTCAGAAAAATGCAGTCAACGTGTATAGAATCTAGCTCACCTGAATAAAGGGGTGGAGTTGCGGCGCATGTCGAATAAGAGCTCTCATTTCACTTTTGTGCCCCGCCAATGCTGTTGCCTTCATCGTCTTATACACCTGTACACATTTCTCATGAAATTCCGTGGCGTAAGCACACAAATCGTGGGACTAACCTCCGATCGAAGAGTTTTATTCAAGGCGGTGGTGGGTCTCATATCTGCTGCCAGCATATAATCTTCAAGTGGTTTTATTGCCGCCTCGAACAGATGCCCGTCAACATAAGCCGTGTAGTCTGTTAAAATTGTGTAGTTTAATCGAACGTTGATCCAGAGAAGTGATAGTGATGTGTTGAAAGAGTGCAAAAGTGCTCACCGAGTAGCACTATTCCACAAGCTTCTTTCCTATCTGCAACTTCGCCAATTATTTCTGCGTAGAGACCATTACGTAGCAATTCATCATGAATTGCTCCATTGATCTGTGCAGGAATATGCACGAACTCTGGCGCGTACGCACCGAATTCTCCACTCGTATCTTTGGTGCAGAAAAGCACCAAAATAGCCAACACTTTGTAGACGTGAGCCGACTGCATTCTGTAGCTGTAAACTAGATTCCGATATTGACCTTTCGAGCAGTGGGACTCGTGATAAAACGAAATTCGGATTCATATCATCAAAAAAATATCAATGAATGCATGAACACATTTTAGGCATGCCCAGCTTTGCACGAAATCATTTATTTCGGTATTATTCTATGTTATTATTTGCGTATACGTTGTAGAACGCGTTCGTGGCTTCTTCAGCAGTGGTTGGTCGGCTTTTGTATCCCATCGTGGATTCGAGCGCTGAGCACCGTCATTTGTGAACTTCTTTCTTAAACAGTTCAAATGACTATGACTCAATAGACGTGTGACAATTCTGTTTATGATGGTTATGTCTATTTTATGTTGTGCATGTCTGTGTGTATATTCATTATTCATTCATATATTGTATATGTTCGCAAGCAAATATGAAGATATACACACATAGACCATTCAGTGAATGTCTTATTTTAATGTTTTGTTTCATATGTCTAGTCCCTGAAAACATGAAAACATAATGTAAACACAAAAAAACGAATAGGAATAAATACTTAAGCCATAAAAAATGAATCACTCTTCGAAAACATGGAACCAAAATGTGAAACTGTACCAACAAAATACTTACCACTTGACTCATATCAACAGTTTACAAAAAAAAATGAATTCATGACCAATTTGCTTTGACCATGCTCAGTTTTACGAACAAATCGAAGAAAAAAATTAGAATTGAAAGAAAAATTTAAATTCTAAACGTACAAAGACTTTGGAGAGCGTGATACTGGCGCATGATGTTGAGAACATACGAAAACTCCAGGTTCTTGTACAACAAGTCCGTCCACATATCATGATTCTTGGTCCTAAAATGCAGCAGCTCTGCTCTGCCAAACTCTTCGCTTAGGGTTGGTCCTTCGGTATTCAACGGACATTTGCGAACCTGAAACGATGTAGCCTCGAAAGTGTGATTGCTCAATAAAGCATTTATGGGGATAGTGCTCACCGCATAGCAACTCTGTGCAGACTCGTCGTAACTCACGCAACAGCTATACCTTTGTGGTGAACTTGGTGAGATGGCCTCACCAAGAAGTACCACTGCTGCGATACCGACTGCCGGTTTCAGCACAATCACCACCGACGCTTTCCTCTTCCTATGATATGCATCTCCGTAAGCTGCCATGAGCAGCTTACTCAGCTGATTATCCGCGTCGAATGGAATGACCTCATTGGAGGGATCGTATTTCTGAAAATAATCGTTTATCGACTCACATGTGCATATTCATGGCACATAACAATGCGGCTCGCTTTGTATGCTGCGAATCTGTCCAG